CTCTAGCCCATAGACATTAATAACTCCAGTTTAAGCAAGGTTAAGATAGTGGCACACAAAATACAAAATAGTACCTTATCCACACAGCAAACAATTTACTACAAGTAAACCTTTCAGACAATGTAGGGGGAAAACGGTGCACTAAAGTTATTCTTTAACTCTTCCACAAAAAGAAATGAAAGGAGAAAGATAGAATACTTTTTGACATATGTGCAAGCAACAACATCAATAACAAGAACAACGGATGGACAGAATTGAAAAATATATATATGAGAAATTGAGATACCGTTGGGTGTTGTGATTGGTGCGGGTAAAGCCGGCCTCTTACCTGATTGGTTGGGCGGTGGTCCGTGGCTCAGCACCCCGGGCACTCCAGTGGGCACTCCGGGCTGGAGCGGAGGCGTCACTGGGCTGTAGTGCTGGGGCGGCCCCTGGTGGTAGCCCGGCGGCAGCCAGTGCTGCTGCTGGGCATTTGAGCCCGGCCCAGGACCCTGCAACAACATCAAGCGTTTCAATAAATACACAGCGACAAAAAATTCTTCCTTCAGAAAAAAAAATAAAAATGCACAAACACGTCGAGAACGCCCTCGGCCAAGCTATGAGGCGGTCAGGGGGAATACCACATCATTCTAAAGAAATCAAAAATATTAATGACTACCGCACCGACAGAAAAATGAAATCCCTCGTGAAAAAAGACGTTTAGTTCCGCGACAGCTGATGCGAAATCCATCAGGACGATCGTCAACCAGCATTCACGAATTCCGTCGTACCGAAGTGATTTTGATGACGACGTATTCCTCGTCGATCAAGTCGTCGATGGCCACGTCGACACACTCCCCGCTGCCGTCTGTTCGCCGGGGCTTCCCCCTGGGCTCCACTTCGGTGATCACTTCGACGCCCTCGGAGTTCTCCAGCCCGTCCCCCGACACTTCCCCACCATCTGGACGGCCTCGACCCGACGTCGCCGGCGCGGACGCGGGTGCGTCGCCCCCCAGCGGGTCCAGCTGCTCCCCCGGATCTGGTTTGTCGGCCATCACTGTCACCCCGGGGCCTCCGGTTGTGTCTGCTCCCGCGACCCGCGACTCGACGTCGTCGTGGTGCTCCTCGAGGTCGTCCGCGGCCGAGCTCGCGCGCCGTTCTTCTAGAACACTGACAGCTGTGTGCACGGCGGGCGACCCAGCAGCTGCTCGCCGCGCGCTCGCCGACTCCCGCCCGCCGTCAGCGTCAGCTGTGGTGACGGCGCCCCCGGGGCCCACGTCCGCGCCCGCAGGGCCCGCCTTCAGGCCCGCCGCACCAATCCCTGCGCCACCGTGCGGCTTCGTGTTGTTATCGGGACCCTCGATAAGGCTGGCATTCGGGCGCGGCGCGTCCTCGGCCCAGGGTCCCCGGGGGGCGACGAGCTCGCCAACCTGGGTGGCGGCCTGCTGGAGTTGGGGGGCGGCTGGAGCCCGGCGCACGCGCTCGTCGGCGGGCGGAGGTTCCGGAGGGGGGTCTTGTGGGTGCACGCCGTTGGGAAGGATGCGGGCCTCGGGGGCGACATCGTTGGGTGTATCCATGTGGAGCGCGTCGGCTGGGGGCGGGGCCCCGTCGGCCTGGGGAACTTTGGTCAGAGGTGCATGCACGTCAGTTAGAACGACGTCCCCCTGTAGGGCGTCATCAAGAGGTGCATCACTCTGGAGCACGTCAGCAAGAACGACGTCCCCCTGTAGTGCAACATTAAGGGGTGCATCACTCTGGTGCGCGTCAGTTAGAACGACATCCGCCTGGGGGGCGTCATCACGGAGTGGGTCACTCTGGTGAACATCAGTTAGATCGGCGCCCACCTTGTGGGCGTCATCAAGGGGTGCATCACTTTGATGCACGTCAGTTAAAACGACGTTCGCCTTGTAGGCGTCATCACGGTGGTGCACGTCAGCTGGGGGTGAGGGCGTGTCGGTACGGTCGGTCGGGTGGACGTTCGCCTCGGGAGCTTCAGTAAGAGGTGCATCAATCTGGCACTCGTTGGTTGGGGCGACGAGCTCCACCTGCTGGGCGCCAATCTGATGGAGGGCGTCGTAATCTGCCTCGCGGGCGTGAGCAAAGGGTGCGTCGATCTGGTCCACGCCTCCCTCGAGGGCGTCGGCCTGCGGGACGACATCCGGGCGTGTATCGATCCGATGCCCATTGCTGAGGGGGGCGTTGTTCGCCTGGAAGGCGTGAGCAGTGAGGGGTGCATCAACCGGACGCCCGTCGGGCTGGGGCTGCGGAGCGTCGGGGCGGGGGGCGCAGGGCCGGGCCGCGTCCACCTGCGGGGCTGACGTGCCACCGTGGACCGCGGGCGCGCCGGGCTGGCTCGTGACGTCGTCGGGCTGCTCGCACGTCACCAAGGCGAGCGCCAGGGCGGCGCTGACCGGGCGGCACGGCCGCCGCGCCTTGTTCTTGTGGCGCCGCCTGAGGAGCGAGTGCTTCTTCTTGACGGGGTGCTTCTCGTCGGGCGGGAGGGTGACGCCGTAGGCCAGCTCCCGGTGCCGCCAGTCGCCTCCGCCATGCTCGGGGTCCACCGGCCGGCCGGGGAGGCCGTCCGGGTACGAGCAGCACTGACCCGTGGCGAGGTGCCAGCCGGTCCTGGGGACCGGCGACGCACACGCACACGCACACACAGACACACACGGATCGCGAGGTCGCGCGGGGCGCGGGTATCAACGGCAGGCCGGGCCGGGCCTGGCGGGCACCTGTCGCGAGACGGTGTTAGCGACTGGCTGGGCCCCCGTGGCGTTACGCCGTTGTGGTGCAGAGCTAGGCCTGCTAGGCCCGGGGGGCGGCCCGGGGCCGTATCGTCCGAGCGGCACGGCTCAGAGCAGCCGAGCTGCCACGTTAGCACGGCGGCGGCGGCGCAGCAGACCGGCACCGGCTGCAACGAGCAGCTGCAGCCCCGCGGCCGCCGCGGCCCCGCGATCCTGGCCCTAAGAGGCCCCGCGCTGGCTCCTGGCCCTAGCCCACCAGGCCCTGCGCGTGCCCTGCTAGCTCCCCCGCCCCCCACGAGCGCCCCAACCCCGCAGCGCCGCTGCTCAGATAGGGGGCGTTGCCGGGTACCATCATCACGTTCACCACCACAACCGCCACCACCACAACCGCCACCACCGCGTCGCGAATCAGTTGGGCCACGTGTCGCGTCCGAGGTGGCGGGAGAGAGGGGCCCCGAGCCCGGCAGCACCGACGTGGCACCATGGTGGCACCGGCGGAGATAACACAACAGCGGGCCGCGGAGAGAGAGGGAGGGCGGGAGGGGGGGAAGCCGGCCCGCCGCGCGTGCGAGCAGGATGGGCTGCCTACCTCCCCGGCGGGCGCTGCCCAGACACACCGGTCGGTATGCCCAAATATTGCGATGTACCAGGTGGCTGATTCACGCCACGCACTTTCGTAGAGCTATACTGTACCGCATGCGCGGGTTGCGAGCGGGTTTGCCTATACCCGCTGCTGCCCACGGCTCCTTGTGGCCCCGTGCGAGTAGGCAACCCGCCCGCACACGTGCATGCGGTACACTCTACGAAAGTGCAAGGCGTGAGTCAGCCAGCTGGCACTTTTTCGTGTGCGGAGATGAGATCAGCGACGCGGACCTTCTGCTGCAACCCCGTGTGCTGGCAGTGTAGGGGTAGGTTCAGTTAACGCGCCCAGGCCCAGCAGCACACGGGCGGTGGTCGACAGGGGGAGAGGAGTGGGAGAAGGGTCGTCCAAGAGGAGGCCGTGCAGGGGGGCCGAGCGGAACACGCAAAAGCAATCCGACAAGGCGCCACAGACATTTGGGGAGGAGAGGGAAGGGGGTGTGGGCAGACATACACGACTCGAGCAGTCGTCGAGGCGAGAGGAGGG